ACACCAAGAACATTAACTGGCTTTTAGCTTGAAAACAGCGAACTCCTGTTCCACATCCCCCCACCATGTACAAGTGTGTGTACATACGTGCACACGGTAGTAGAGAGGAATTCAGAAACACGCTGTGTTTAGTGTGTAAATTAGAGAGAAACTAACTCTCCAGTCTCGTGAGAAAGAGACTTGATGGAGGCTCTTGGGAAATACTTCATCTGTACGGTAGGAGGCGAGGCCGTCCACCTTCAGCAGAGGCGAAGATGAGGAGCTGGGGCCAGGATCAGGGGCCCCCCAAACTCTGGGGCCTCACCTGTGGGCAAAAGCGTGAGAGCAGTAAAGTCAGGATGGCCCAGAGGACGGGTTTCCACGGTCATTGCCGGCAGCACGGCCTGACCTCCCGCTGACTCTCCTTCACTTGTCACCAGCCCTGCGCGGGGCTGGTCACGACTCCTCATGCAAGGGCTGGGTCCGTCCGGCGCTGTGAATGCCTCCAGGGCTGTGGTGCTTGGGCCACAGGGGCAGATGGGCTCTCATGCACGTCTCTTCACTGGGACGGTCAAAGGAGGATGGGGGAGGGTGTAGCTCAGTGGGAGGGCATGAGCTGAGCAGGCGCGAGGTCCTGGGTTCAATCCCCAGTACCTCCATTAAGTAAGTAATTGAATAAACCTGATTACCACCCCCCCAAAACAAAACAAAACAAAACACGAGGATGGAAGTGATGAGGGGAGGGCGCTCTGGAAATTGGAGAACATGGGCTCGGTAATAACAGTAGGGGGTCCAGGGTACCTCTTTCTTTTCTTTGCCCCGCTTACCTCTCAAAGCTCAGTGGTCTGTGTCTGACTGCAGGATGGTGAAAGGAGCATTCTGTTTGAATTTCAGGGACCTGCATTCAAATATTTACTTTCCCATGAACTCAGTGCCTAGCTGGGGTGTCCCTTCCCCTCCCAGTCATCTCCCTCATGTAGACACTGAAGACCCACCCTTGACATGATTAAGTCAACAACGCATGAGAAAATAGAAGAGAATGCTTGCACAGGGAAGGCCCCCGGTAAACGCCTCTTCTTTCTTATTCTCTCCCGTTTTTCTCCTGGTCTGGCAGCGGATGGAGACCCCCACTTCGTGGTGGATTTCCCCTTGAGCAAGCTAACCGTCTGCTTCAACATTGATGGGCAGCCCGGGGACATTCTGAGGCTGGTCTCTGATCACACGGACTCCGGTAAGTGCTGCCTGAAAGAGTTCTTGGACTGAAAAAAAAAATTAACCTTTGCATCCTGCTGCGCTGCTCGGTGGTATCCCAGGGTCTCCAAATCAGGAGCAGTGGAAAGTAGTGGGGAAGAAATACTGTGTCTGGGCCATACGAGGCTTTTTGGCGCCGTAACCAGACACTGGAATGAAAGCAGGCTAGCATGTAAACCCCCTTCTGTGACGTCTTCACCCAAACCTACATCTGCCTTCTCCTCGCCTGGGACACTGGTCAGACACAGGGAAGAAACTTCACTCATTCACTCATTCACTCACTCGGCCCAGAGCGGCCCCTCCCTGTGAGTGGAAGTTCATGGTTCTCGAGACACAAAGATCAGGCCAGAGAAGGAGGGAAGTTCTGATCAGACACCTTCACCTGAAAGTTGGGGTAACTCTTTCTTTTTTTCTTGTTGAAGTGGAGTTGATTTACGTGTTTCAGGTGCACAGCAAAGTGATTCAGCTAAACACATATATATAATACTCTTTTTCAGATTATTTTCCATTATAGGTGATTATAAAATATTCCACATACAACTGATAGCATGTGGTATTTGTCTTTCCTTGATTTACTTTATTCAGTATGATCATCTCTAGGTCCACCCGTGTTGCTGCAAATGGCATGATTTCATTCCTTTTTGTGGCTGAGTAATATTCCATTGTGTGTATATACCCAAACTTCTTTATCCAGTCATCTGTCGATGGACACTTAGGTTGCTTCCAGATCTTGGCTATTGTAAATACTGCTGCTGTGAACATTGGGGTGCATGTATCTTTTCAAATTAGAGTTTCCTTTGGATACATGCCCAGGAGTGGGATTGCTGAGTCATATGGTAAGTCTATTTTTAGTTTTTAAGGAACCTCCCCACTGTTCTCCATGGTGGCTGCACCGATTTACACTCCCACCCACTGTGTAGGAGGGTGTGGGGGCAGTTTTTTTTTTTTTAATGGAAGTACTGGGGATTGAACCCAGGACCTCGTGCACACTAAGCATGCGCTCTCCCACTGAGCCATACCCACTGCCCTGAGGGTAGTTTTTCTAACCATTGCTCCTTCCCCTCTGCCTCCGAGGTGTGACGGTGAATGGAGAGTTAATCGGGGCTCCGGCTCCTCCAAATGGCCACAAGAAACAGCGCACTTACTTCCGAACCATCACCATCCTCGTGAACAAGCCCGAGAGGTCTTACCTGGAGATCACACCGAACAGAGTCATCTTGGACGGTGGGGACAGGCTGGTCCTTCCCTGCAACCAGAGCACCGTGGTGGGGAGCCGCGGGCTGGAGGTGTCCGTGTCCGCCAACGCCAATGTCACCGTCACCATCCAGGGCACCGTGGCCTTCGTCATCCTCATCCACCTCTACAAAAAGCCAGCCCCCTACCAGCGGAACCACCTGGGCTTCTACATCGCCAACAGCAAAGGCCTTTCCAGCAGCTGCCACGGCCTCTTAGGTAAGACTTCGCCGAATTCACGCTGGTCAGGGGGCAGGGTTCATTTTCCCGAAGTGAAGCTGCTGCTGAAGCGTACCTGTGGCTTGGCTGAGAAATTCCATAGGAATCGGGTCTTTTATTTTTTTGCATATGGCCAGTTTTTTCTTGGTTTTTAAAAATTTTTATTTTTTATACAAGTTTTAAAGGTTGCACTTCATTTACAGTTATTGCAGAATATTGACTGTCTTCCCCGTGTTGTTCAATACATCCCTGTGGCCTGTCTTACCAGTACAAACCCAGCAGTTTGTACCCCCTCCTCCCACCTCTGTGCTGCGCCTGCCCCGCCCCCTGCACTGGTGACCACTAGTTTGTTCTCCGTATCTGTGAGTCTGCTGCTGCTTTTGGTTATATTCACTAGTTTGCTGTGTTTTTTAGATTACACATTTAAGTGATAACACACAGCATCTGTCTTTCTCTGTCTGACTTACTGCACTTAGCATAATGCCCTCCAAATCCATCTGTGTTGCTGCAAATGGCAACATTTCATTCTTTTTTATGGCTGAGTAGTATTCCATTGTATAAATACACCACAACTTCTTTATCCAGTCATCTGTCAATGGACACTTAGGTTGCTTCCATGTCTTGGCTGTTGTAAATAGTGCTGCTGTGAACATTGGGGTGCATGTGTCTTTTTGAATTAGGGTGAAAAGTCTATTTCTTGCTGCCTTTATAAACTAATTCTCACTGGCCTTCTGGGAAAGGGAGCAAAGAAATAGGGAATCATTTTCTCCAGGCCTGATTCTTTACTCTCAGCAAGATGTTGCCAACCCAGGTCTCCCACGGCCTGGCACCAGCTGTGAGACGCATGGCCCTTCCACGGGTGGCACCCCCGTGGCCGGGGGCTGAGGGCAGCCCCCTCTGCCTGGCTTTCCTCCACGGGCAAGTTTGTGTGGGCCTTTTGCCCAGAAGCAAAGAGCCGGTCGCTGCCAGGGCTCAGTTTGGAAGCAGGGTTTCCTGGCGCTCCAGCTGGCCGAGGCTCTGTCCCGCCTGCCAAGTGCGAGCTCCTCTCCCAGACGCAGACGGCTGTTCCTTCGGCCTTAGCGATGCCCTCACTTGACCCGGAGGATTCCGGTGCTGCGACTCGGGACGGAGCCGAACTGACTGTTCCCCACCCCCTCAGCCCGGGGCACGCCCACCAAGTGCACGTATGGAAGGGCTCTTACAGCCGGAGGAGAGCGGGCAAGACCTGACCCTTCTTCCCTGTTTGCTTGCCCCGGCCTCATCCTCCCGACTCGGTAGCAGACCGGTCATCTCGGTGTGTGGTTGGGCGTCTTGCCCATGTTTGCTTCCACGAAGGCACCTCAGTCTCTCCTCTCCTTCCCTCCCCGGACCCTGGAACAGGTGTGAGCGCCTCCGGGACAGTCCAGCCCAGGACCGCAGCTCGTGAAAAACCTGCCCCCAACCCTGATGTCATGAACCCCCTTCCGCTGGGTGACATACATGCATTCGCTGGTCACCGGTGCCGAAATTGGAGCTAGTTTTTTCCAACAGCGTTCCTCACCCTTGGCCTCGCCCTGATGCTTCTTTTTGGTCCTGTCAGGTCAGTTCCTGAACCAGGAGGCCAGACTCACTGAGGAGCCTGCCGGGCTCGGCAAGAGCCCTGCTAAGCCTCCCTCCCCCGAGGCAGGCGAGCTGTCTCAGGCCGTCCTCAAGGTCAGAGACCACCAGGTGCCCGTGGTGTGGAAGCAGAGGAAAATCTACAACGGGGAAGAGCAGGTGGACTGCTGGTTTGCCCGGAACAACGCTGCCGACCTGATCGACGGGGAGTATAAGGACTACCTGGCGGCCCATCCTTTTGACTCAGAGACAGCCTTCGGCCAGCACCCCTCCGGGGGGCTCTGACACCAGCAGCCTTAACGTACGAGTGGTGACAGGGGAACATCTTCGGGGACCCCGTGGTGCGATTCTTGTCACTTGCACGTGCCAGGTCTCTTGACAGGTGGCTGCCACCTGTGACTCATCCTTGGTGATGAGAGGTCTGCTGTCTGCTTGAGCAAAGGGTGGGGTCGGGACGTTGACGTGCGAATGGGATTTCCTCCCCTCCCCCTCCCCTGTCTCCAGTAACCAAAGGTGGCGGCACCAAGTGGACAAGTCATGGTTAAAAGCAAGACATCTCTGTCTTGTACGACTGGCCTGTTCTTGTCACAGCTCACTGTAAGGTGACTCTGACGAAGGAAGGTGGCCATAAAGTTTGTTTTCTTTGTGGAAATGGCCAGGTCTGGAGACTCCACTTTTAGCTTCATAGTAACGCTTACGGATCTCCCCTCTTTGTGCTGCTGTGCTCTCCGGGGGTCTGGCCAACCTCTGCCTCAGGGGACCCCCTCGCTAGGCCCAGGCCACCGGTCGCGCAGCTAGCACGTAGATTCGAGCCTTGTAAACAATCTGGTCTTTTCGTAGGAGAGAATTTTCTTCTGCTGTGGTATCTTGCCCTTGGAAATTTGTTTTCCTTTTTAAAGATTGATTCAGAATAGAAAACCTGCATCATCCCAGATCACCGGTATCTTTCTAACGGGCTCTGCAAACCGCCTGGCCTTGTGGACGGAGAGTCTCCTATTTATTTCAGAAAAGCTGCACACCTCTGATAAACAGGGCAGCCCGTGTGGGTGTGCACCCATCCCTGGAGCCGGCCAGCTGGGTGAGGAGTCCCTCACGTGGCTCTTCAGCCTTGGTCCTGATTCCGACCTGGCGTGCTCCCCGGTGCCCCGGGAGCTGATAAATTCCGCTCTCACAGAAGGGGGATGGGAGGGACCGTCAGCCAGTGTGCGCCCACTGGCCGGCCTGCAGGAACCAAACTGCTCGTTCTCAGCAGGAAATGCAGACGTGCTTCTGCATCTAAGAAGCACATCTGTCTGCCCACATCCCAGACAGGCAAGGCCAGGGAGCGGCACGAGCACAGGGCTTTGGCTGCAGAGCGAGGGCAAATCTGGTTCCATCAGGGAAAGGCTAAAATGGGGGCCTGGGGGTGGCTTCAAAAGTCAGTGGGTGTCACCCTCCCCATCGTGGAATCCACACAGCCCGCTCACATTAACCAGGGGAGCGGGGACCGACAGGGCCTCAGAGCCTCTCTTCTCCCCTCCTCAGGTTTTTTGCTCTGCTCTGTCTTCTCAGGGTCACAGGGGTTCCGTCAGCCTGTTCCCCACTGCCGTCGGGGGTGTTGGAGCAAACAGCAGAGACAGAAAGCTTTGGGTCAAAGAAATGGAAGCTTTGGATGGGAGAGCGAATTAAATAAAGGCTTTCGTGCCGGCTTCGTGGAAGTGTCTTCCAGCGGGGAGTGACTCTAGGCCATGTGGGAGCAGACCTAGCGCTTGGAGAGGAACAGGAGTTAAGAAAACTGTTTATCTGGTTTGCTCTCCCGTGGGAATCATCTGAGCAGCAGAACGACACCCACGTGTTCCCGTGGACCAGGGGCTTGGGCTTCGGGAGTTTAGTTCTTTTCGTGCCGCGGGCTGGGGGCAGGGAGGAGGGGTCCGGTCTGTCTCAGGGCCTCCGTCTCTCCCCGCGCTGTGAGCCCGCCGGACCGCGACTGGCAGCTGTGTCGCTTCTGACCCAGCTCCGCTGCCTGTTCCCACGCCAGCGGGGCGAAGGCCCCCGCCCAGGCCGCGACAGCTGCTTCCAGATGTCAGAGCTCAGAGGAGGGAGGAGCGGGAGGCCGGGTGGCCGG